CAGCTCTGGTGTGGCATTGCTTCATTTCTGTCTATGTATGTATGTCTGCAATAGGCAATGGGGTTCACACAAGGTGGAATGACACTAGAAAGGATGTGGTGCAGAATCATTCAATTCTACAATGTTGCAACATTTGCCCTACTGTTAGCTGCACTTCTACAGATAACCCATCATAGGGAAAAATAAATAGCATTCCTAAAAAAATGCTTGTTAGATGGTCAGCTAGCATTATCTGTATAGAAAGTTGGTATAGCAAGTTCAGAAATCCCCAAAATTTGCAGAAAGATATTTAATAAATAGATTTTATTTATTTATTTATGACATTTCTACCTCGCCTTTCTCCACTCTGGAGGGGACTCAAGGCGGCTTGCACACAGTAACTATTAGATGTCATAAAGCAATGTACAATTAAAATAAACATTTAAATAGAATTATAAAATATATTAAAACAATTTAAAAGATTTAAGACAATATCTTCACACACAAAAATCACAAAATCCTCAAGCATAATCCGGGCTGTCCCAATAGTCATTGCACATCATTCCATATCTGTCTACTGCACAAGTTCTCCAAAGGCTCAGTCACAGAGCCATGTTTTCACTCTCTTACAGAAGGTCAGGAGGGAGGGGGCTGATCTAATATCCCTGGGGAGGCCGAGGGGCCACTACTGAGAAGGCCCTGTCTCTCGTCCCTGCCAATTGCGCTTGCGAAGGAGGCAGGACCAAGAGCAGATTTAATCCCTTAATCTGAGCGTGCAAAATGAGCATGAAGTACTGAATGTTGGTGGACATGAAAAGAGCTTTAAAGATGGGCTCAAAGCCAACCTCAAAAACTGTGGCATAGACACCGAGAACTGGGAAGCCCTGTCCCTTGAGCACTCTAACTGGAGGTCAGCTGTGACCAGCAGTGCTGCAGAATTCGAAGAGGCATGAATGGAGGGCGAAAGGGAGAAGTGTGCCAAGAGGAAGGCACATCAAGCCAACCCTGACGAGGACTGCCTTCCATCTGGAAACCGATGTCCTCACTGGGGGAGAACGTACGGATCAAGAATAGGGCTCCACAGCCACCTACAGACTCACTGCCAAGACACCATATCTGGAAGACAATCATCCTTGAGCTACGAGGGATTGCTTAAGTAAAGTAAAGTAAGTACTGACTATTGGGTGAAGCACAGAAAACGGCAAGCATGGAATAATGGAATGGAATTGCAGATCTTGACAAATAAGTCACACCTAGCTGAAGGGTAACTTATATTTTATTGCAATTTCCACAACTGATGAAACTCTCTTTGTTTACTCACTATGCCTATGCCTGCTGTCTTCGGGCTGTTCTTATGAAAGTCAAAGGAGCTTCCATGGTTCTGAAGGCTCCTAGAAACTGTCAAAACAGCACATTTGGAATGATGTGTGATCAAAGGATAAACATATGTTGCTCAGAAGTTAAAGAGAATGAACTAGCAATGTGTCAAAATGGTTGGATCTTTTAATTCATTCTGAGATAAAAGAGCAGCCATATGAAATTCACAACCTAACCCTATACCAACTATACACACCTAGCAGGAAATCTCATCAAAATAACTGGGACTTACTCCAGCATAAACATCTATAGGATTTCATTATGCCAGAGCCTCTGAAAAAGAAATTATAAGAGATTGACAGAGAAAGCATTAAGTCATCTTTATCGGGTCATTAGCAACTATCATTTTAAAGGTTTTTTTTTCTTATCAGGAGTGACTTGAGAAACTGCAAGTTGCTTCTGGTGCGAGAGAATTGGCTGTCTGTAAGGACGTTGTCCAGGGGACACCTGGATGTTTTGATGTTTTACCATCCTTCTGGGAGGCTTCTCTCATGACCCCGCATGGGGAGTTGGAGCTGACAGAGGGAGCTCATCCGTGCTCTCCCTGGATTCGAACCTCTGACCTGTTGGCCTTCAGCCCTGCCGGCACAAGGGTTTAACCTGCTGCGCCACCAGGGGCTCCATATTTTAAAGATGTGATCAACATTTGCTGCTAATGCAAAAAAAGGAGAATAAATATTATTTAGAAACATTGCATACATTTGAGTTGTCAAAGGTTTTCATGCCTGGAATCAGTGGGTTGCTGTGAGTTTTCTGGGCTGTATGGCTATGTTGCAGAAGTATTCTCTCCTGACGTTTTGCCCACATCTTTGGCAGGCATTCTCAGAGGTTGTGTGGTCTGTTGGAAACTAGGCAAGTTTCCTCACTTAAGAGGCTGCGGCGGAAAATGAAGGGGCCTGAGGCCAGGAATTGTGGGAGTTGAAGTCCAAAAAAACCTGGCAGATTGAAGTTTGCTCATGCCTGATATAACCCTGCATTCTTTGGTGCGTCAGTCTCCAGTATACTTCTTATGTACCCCTACTATATTAAAACTTTTTGAGTTTCCATTAATAATAATTTGCTAAGTTTGCCTTTATTCCTGTGAATTAACTAAATCAACATGTGTCCTCCTCATCATTTTTGTTGAGACATTTCTTTTGGGGAAAGAAAAATGAAGAAGTGCCTGCAATAATTCCTGGAGAAGTATTGTGTCAAGTATGTAATAGCAAATAAACAGAATACTGCAAAACTTGGGTTTGCAGTTTCATATTTCCTTGGAGCCAACTTAGCAAACTTATTTGTCACACGAATGCCATGAATGAAAGTGAACATTGTTTATATTATCAGCCGCCTGATATTATTGCACAATACAATGAAACTTTGTTCTTGCAAAACACAGAAATTACTGAACTTAACATTTCATAATTCTTTGGCTGTAACATTTCAATGAAATTGGAATAGGAAACAGATGGTTTGCTTTGGGTTTTTTGTGGGAGGGTGTTTCAGTTTTTTTGGTCAGGGAAGATACATCCAGGAAAACAGGACTAAAATTTTTTTGGCTAATCCAAACTACAGTAGATTTATCCAATCAATTGTTGAATGGTACCTCAAAATACAAGCAAATCCCATTAATTTTATAGGTCTTCTCTAATTAGGAATAACAACAGAGTTCAAACTGAGAATAATAAAGCTGAATACAATGTAGTCACTTGTTTACCATGACATCCAGCTAACTCCCATTCATTTAAAAAATATTCATGAAATCCCATGATTCCATTCACAAAATATTTCCTCCGGACAAAACAGAAAAGTAGGAGGTGTTTCAAATTGGCTACCAAGAAAAGAAGGACAGAGGAAATTAACTTGGTTTTTCTAGTTTAATAAATGATTACTGTCACACTGCATCTACAGAACTGGCAAGTTGCATTTAAATAATTATGTGCAATGTAGAATTATTCTTCTGCAATAGCAGAAGTAATGTGGCCTATCTTCGAATGCCATAGGGTGCATATACACCATTTATTTTTAAATTTATATTATACTAGCCATCCCCTGCCACACGTTGCTGTGGCCCAGTCTGTGTATATGTGTTTTGTGTGTGTATATATGTTTGTTTGCGTATATATATGTGGTTTTGCACATGCCTTGTAATGTATTTTTGTTTTTTGGCTTTTGAAGTGTCTTCTGCTGTGTTTTTCAGTGTTTTTATGAGTGATGGTCACTCGTTGGCCTGATAAGCGTATTGTGTGCAAATTTGGTCTCAATTCGTCCAGTGGTTTTTGAGTTATGTTAATCCCACAAACGAACATTACATTTTTATTTATATAGATTTATGGAAATATAAATTTATATGTGTGTCTGTGTGTAAAATATTTTAAATTCAAATTAAACGTACACATTTTAAAATCCTAAAATTAATTTACAAAATTAAAAATCCTAATATTTATTTGTTTTCAATTTGGGTGTATATAAACATAAATTAAAATATCGATATACTATAAATAGAAAAAAATATATTTATATGTTATTAGCTGTACCCGCCACGCTTTGCTGTGGCCAACCTTCCCTCTTTCTCTCCTTTCCCTCCTTCCTTCGCTCCCTCTCCTTCCTTCCCGTCTTTCTTCTATTCTTCATTCCTTCTCTATCTCTTTCCTTCCTTCCCCTTTTCTTTCTCTTCTGCCGTCTCTTTTCTTCCCTCTTTCCTTTCCTCCCTCTTTCTCTACATCTTCTCCCTTCCTTCACTTCCTCTTTCTTTCCTTCTTTCCTTTTTTCTTTCCTTTTCTAACTTTCCTTCCCCCTTTTTCTTTCCCTCCCTCTTTCTCTCCTTTCTTCCTTCTCCCTTTCCTTCTTTCTTTATTTCCCTCCCTCTTTCTTTTCTTTCTTTCTTTTCTCCTCTTCCCTCCCTTTCTTCTCTTCTGTATTGTCATTTAGCTTTTTGGGGCTTTTTAAATCCCTTCTGCTGTGTTTTCCAGTGTTTTTATGAGTGAAGGGCATACATTGGGTTGTAAGGTGTATGCTGTCCAAATTTGGTGTCAATTCCCCCAGTGGTTTTTGAGTTCTGTTAATCCCACAAACGAACATTACATTTTTATTTATATAGATTATTTTTTTAAAAAATTAATGTAAAAATAAGCATCTTAATATTTATATATTTATTTTTAATAAGGCGTTTATTTAATTTTTTATTTTTAATAAGCAATTGTATTTAATTTTTAAATATAAAAAACCCCTGATCCTGTTAAGGATTGGAGAGGGGAGGAGATGCTGGGTGGTGGTTGCAGGGAGGCAGGCAAGCAAGCAGGCTGGGGGCTTTCCAACTCTATGCTTCCCTTCCCATTTACAGCATCACAAAGAGCATGGAAAAGGAAACCTAACCTCCCCTCCTCCTCCTCTTCTGTGTTTCCTTTCCCTTTAACCGGCCGGCTGGAAACCCCTCTCTCCCCAACGCAGCCGCGCGCCTACGCTAGAGAGAGACCCGCCCCATCACCCTCCTCCTCCTCCTCCTCCTCCTCGGAGCAGCAGCTGATGCGATGTGCAAAGAGCGCCCGCCTCGCCTCGCGTACACCAATGAGGCTCGGAATCTCCCTCCAATCCCGCCTTTTTATTGGCCAGCCTGGGGTGTCAATCTCGCGTCACGAGCCCCTCCCCTCTCTCCCTCTCTTTCTCTCTCTGGAAGCGGACGCAGGGGGCGCCGCGAGAGGGCAGCGCGCGCGCGGGGAGCCGAGGAGCGATGCTTCTGAGGTTGCTGCTGCTGCTGCTGCGGTTGCGCCATCTGTCAGGATCCCCGCTGGAAGAGGAGGAGGAGGAGGAGGAGGAGAAGAGGCAGAGCGAGGCCGCTTGGGCTTGAATCCTCAGCAAAGAAGGGGAGACATACAAGAAGGGAAAGAGAGAGAGAGAGAGAGAGAGAGGGATTGAAGGGGAAGCGCGCGCCCGCCTCCTGTTCCCCGGACAGGAGGCAGCAGCTCACGCGCCAGACAAAGCTTCTGCTTCTGCTGCTCCTAAGCAGGGGCTTCGACGTCCCAGTCCTCCCCGCCCTTGTGATTTCGGGCTTGGAGGAGAAAACGACGACGGCGGCGCCTCCTCTGCTGCTTGCTGCTCCTCATCATCTTCTTGCCACCGCCCTGCGCAGAGGCATTGAGAGAGAGAGCGGGGAGGTAAGGAGCCCAGTGGGAAGGGTCCTCTCGTGGTGGGAAGGAAGGAAGGAAGGCTGGCACACAGGGGTTTCCTTTGGAAGGAGAGCCTGGCACGCAGGGAGCTCCAGCCTCGCCCCCTCTGTGGAAAGAGCCCACCCCCCTGCAAAGCCCACCAGAGAATGGGTGGGTCCTTTCCATGCCAAGGCTCCCCCACGCGTGGGATATAGGCTTGTGTCAGGGAGCTCTTGTGGGGTCAATGGCCACTAAGGCAGGAAGGCTCATGGGGAGGAGAGGGAGAGCGAAAGGAGCTGGTTCGGCCTCTTTGCCATTTGCAGCCAGGCCTCCCTATCCGCGGATTCCAACACCCATCCATGAAAGACTTAGAAATATTCCACACACACATATATGATTTCCAACACCCATCCATGCAGCATTTTAACAAATACTCCACATTCACACACACACACACACATATGATTCTGCACTTTGTTGTCATTTTACAGTGTCTCCCCATTCTCCTTTCCCCCCATTTCTAGTTGGCCCTCGGTATCCACATGTCCTGTACCACTATGCAAGGCTTGAAAAGATTGCCAAAGCAATCCCACCTTGGGTTGTGTCATTTTAGGACACAAATCCATCCATCCATCCATGCATGGCTTGGAAATATTTTTTTTTTCTAAATCCCATCTTGAGTTGTCATCTTAGGGGGGCAGCCCATCCATGCATGGCATGAAAATAATTGTATAGAGGAGAGGGGGGAATCCCACCTTGAGTTGTCATTTTCGTATGTCACTACTTGAGTATCCACAGATTTTGGGATCCACAAGGATCCCTTGTAGCACCTGCTGTGAGCTTCCATGTGCCATCTCAAAGGTGGGGTGCACTTTCAGTTGGCCCTCCCTATCCACAGATTTTACACTCACAAGTTCCACACACTATACATCACTTGTATATATATATTTAATTAGAGTTTTACTATATTACTAGTATATTTAGTATTATAACCCCCTGATGGTGCAGCAGGTTAAACCGCTGCACCATGTTTGTATATGGGGGGCATCGAATTGCCCTGAGTCCCCCTTCAGGGGTAGAGAAGGACGGGGTACAAATATTTGAAATAAATAAATAATTGTACAAGCTCCAGTGCAGCCACAAGGGATCCTGGGATATTCCTTTAATGAGGTGCGCTTTAGGTATATTCTTGATTCATCCCTTGATCCATTAAATTTAAGATATTTATCTCTTTTTGCATTATTATCATTATTTTTGTTGAGTTATATAATGCCACCAATGTACACGGAGCTTTAGGAAAAACAATGGGTCCTGCCATGAACTGGCTGACCAAAAAGTTGGCAGTCCGAATCTAGAGAGCAGGGTAAGCTCCTGCTGTTAGGCCCAGTTTCTGCCAATCTAGCAGTTCAAAAACATGCAAATGTGAGTAGATCAATAGGTACCGCTTTGGCAGGAAGGTAATGGCACACAATGCAGTCATGCTGGCCGTGTGTACAGACAGTGCTGGCTCTTCAACTTAGAAATGGATATGAGCACCATCCCCCAGAGACAGACACGGCTAGGTTTAATGTCAGGGGAAACCTTTACTTTTTTATATTACTTGAAAATATGACTTTCCCAAACCCCCATCTTAAGTTGCCATTATTTTTTGTAGTATGTAATGGGACTTGAGCATCCATGGATTTTGGGATCCACGGGGGTCCTAAAATCAAACCCCAACACACCTAATACACCAGGGGTCCACTGTATCAGATGCATAGGGTGATCTAGGGCGTGGGGTTTCACAACCCATGAGACATACCAACAGCCTAGCTTCTGCTTGGCTGATGGGCCATGCAACCCACCATATTGTGCATTGTACACAGTGGGCCCTTGGTGCATCTGCTAGTGTTACGCTCCATTGATACCAACATCTTTGGATGCTCTAGCCCTCCAAGTGTTTGGGACTTCAACTCCCACAATTCCTAACAGCTTCAGGCCCTTTCCACTGAGGGGGAAAAGGAAAGGGCCTGAGGCTGTTAGGAATGGTGGGAATCGAAGTCCCAAACACTTGGAGGACCCAAGTTGGCCCATGCCTGTTGTAGTTCTATTACATACAGTGCCATGCTATAAAGACAACTCAAGGAGGGTTTAAATATATATATTTTGAAACCACGCATGGATGATGGAGTGCACGGATGTAGAGGGGTGACTGCAAATGGAAAAGGGGAAAACCAGCAATTTCTTACCCGGAGTCTGCCTGCCACAACTGACTTCTATCACACAGGCTTGCCTGACATCAGTATGACCCATGGAATCACACAGCAGGCCAGTAGATTCCTTGCCACAAGGGATCCTGGGATATTCCTTTAATGAGGTGCGCTTTAGGTATATTCTTGATTCATCCCTTGATCCATTAAATTTAAGATATTTATCTCTTTTTGCATTATTATCATTATTTTTGTTGAGTTATATAATGCCACCAATGTACACGGAGCTTTAGGAAAAACAATGGGTCCTGCCACGAACTACAATCAGCAATATATGTCTAGTGTGTGTATAATATTGGATTGTGTGAATTTAAATACATGGTTTCTAGTGGTTGTTTTTAATGTAAATGTTTATTTTGCTGGATGTATGTTCATGAGGCATCAGATTGTTGCCTATCTACATGAGCCGATCTGAGTCCTCTATGGGGTGAGAAGGGCGGGGTATAAATATATATCTATATAGATGTCTAATGCAGTGGGTTCCTAGTACAGTAGAGTCTCGCTTATCCAAATTAAACAGGCCGGCAGAACATCGGATAAGCAAAAATGTTGGATAATAAGGAGAGATTAAGGGAAAAGCCTATTAAACATGAAATTATGTTATGCTTTTACAAATTAAGCACCAAAATATCTTGTTTTACAACAACTCGACAGAAAAAGCAGTTCAATACACGGTAACGTTATGTAGTGATTACTGTATTTACAAATTTAGCACCAAAACATCGCAATATATTGAAACAGCTGTGGATCCGGGCAGGAGGCAGACTGCGTTGGATAATACAGAACGTTGGATGAGCGAAGGTTGGATAAGCGAGACTAGGGTTTGATTCCAGGGGACAATTCAATTTTAGTGTGTTATTCCACCCATGTAATGCTTGACAATATCTACCCTCCCCCCTCCACCATAAAAAAATCTCACCTTGAGTTTTCATTTTACTATGCTATTGTATATAATGGGACTTAGCACCCACAGATTTTGGAACCAATTGGGGTCCTGGAACCAAATCCCAGCTTATGGCATGGCTCCAGTGTATTAGATGTATAGGATGGTATAGAAGGGTTGGAGTGGTATGGCCCATCAGAAAGCAGAGACTAGGCCAGGCATGGGCAAACTTCGGCCTTCCAAGTGTTTTGGACTTCAACTCCCACAATTCCTGATGGCTGTTAGGAATGGTCAGAGTTGAAGTCCAAAACACCTGGAGGGCCAAAGTTTGCCCATGCCTGGGCTAGGCTGTTAGTGTGACTATCTGGCCCCACACAGGGTGGAATTGGCCTCTGTTGTGATAATGATGATGATGATGATGATGATGATGATGATAATAATAATAATAAAATTTATTTATACCCCGCCACCATCTCCCCAAGCGGACTCGGGGAGGCTTACATGAGGCCAAGCCCCGCAATACAACAATGCAAATGAACAACATACAACGATAGTAAAATATAAAATAAAAAATAAAATGCAAAAAAACAATCAATATACATGTCAACAATATAAAATCACAATAATTTAAACACAAGAAAATAAATCACAGTGGGCAGGGGCAACAACAAGGACTAAAAGTTTAAAAACACTGGATGAGAAGTCAATGTATTGTATCTGGACAGGGGATCAGAGGGATGAAAGTAGGGTTTAATTGCACTAATAGGTAGAAAATAACGTGCTTCCGAGGACAATTTTTTTGCAGGGTTTGGTCAGGTCAGAGGCTATAGTTCAGTTAATCATTCCTTGAAGGAACACTGGACCAGTCAAGTTTTCAAGCTCTTCCTAAACACTGCCAAGGTGGGGGCTTTCCTGATTTCTCTGGGGAGTAAATTCCAAAGTCGAGGGGCCACCACAGAGAAGGCCCTCTCCCTTGTCCCCACAAGTCGCACTTGCGATGGAGGTGGGAGCGCGAGAAGGGCCTCTCCGGAAGATCGAAGGGATTGTATAGGTTCATAAAAGGAAATGCAGTCACGAAGGTAGGCGGGTCCCAAACCGTTGTAACCCTGCTTGTGGTGGAACAAGGACTATTGCTTCCCCATGACTACATCCTCCAAAACAGGGAGCTCCATGGAAGGGATGTCCTTCAATCTGCAGAGTGGCATGAGCATTTCCAAAAGAAGAGCTGATGCCTGTTTAGATTGGCATACGCTCCTGAAAAGCGAAATCAGGGGGCGAAACCTTTGGCAAGGCCTGATGGGGATGTATTGCATTGTGCCAGGATCAATTAGGTAACATTCTGTATGCCATGTTGAATGTAGAAAAGGGTGCTAATGACTTGTGGTGATGTAATGCTTTAATAATTGATGGGCCTTCTTGTACAGCTGGGTTTTCTACAGGCACATGCTGCCTTTCTTTTTTCTTTCTCTTTTCCTTTGAGATCCTTCGCCATTTAAAAAAATTGCCGGGTCTCCACCTCTTTAATTCAAACGAGCTGACGATTTCTACTATTTAAAAGGAGGGGGGAAGCTGTGAAGATCCACCTCCATGCTTTTCTCTGCTGCAACTTAACTGCGAAAAGGGGGAGTGGAAGAAACAATAAATAAAAGGTCTCCTCCCCCTGTTGCAAATCAATCTTGCAGGATTTTTGTGTGTGTGACAAAGAGGGCTTTGACAGGACAGAAAGGAGATCTACAAGATGCGCAAGGGTGGTAAAACCTTAAAGAAAGCTCCCATACTCACACACCCCTTTGCTTTTTGTCTCTCTCTTCCTTGCTTCTTTCTCCTTTCTATCTGTTCTCAGTGTCTTTAGCCCAGCGAAGGATTTTGATCATTGC